CGTTTCTTCCCAGTGTCCAGCCAAGAGATGTCAGAGTAGCCTTCTCCATAGGGTCACCGACGACTTCGCCCTCGTCAAGCTTGACGAGTGCGTGTGCGGTAGCAAGAACCAAGGTAGTGTCGAGACGGATTTCGTTGACCGGCGTCATCTGCGAGTGAGCACCATCAGTCTCACGGGGGGTGTCGGTACCGCCGGTTTGGCCCAGTCCCAGACCAGCAATGCCCTCAACAACCAAGTCCTCGCCGGTAAGGGTACCGGTCTTGTCGAAGCAGGCAATATCGATACGACCGGCGAAGGGAATGCGGAAAGGCTCAGTGCAGAAAATGGCGTACTTGGCCAAGGCCGCCAAACTCGTGTTGACGGCAAGACTGAGTTCCATGGGCAGCTCGGGAGGGACGACACTGGTGACGATCAAGACGCAGTCGAGCAGAAGCTTGGAGCGCTTGCGGTCCTTCTTGACACCCTCGTCCCAGACGTACCACGAGGCAGCGATCGCGAAAATGAGGAGGAACAGGATGAAGAGCAGGGCCTCGACGTTGTTGGCGGACACACGCTCGGTAGAGTAGATCATGGTGCGGACCAAGCTGCCCTGGGATGTCTCGAAGCCGGTCTTCTGGACGATAGCCATGGCGCCGTTGTCAGGAGGAGGCGGAACGCCCGAAGCCAGCTTGGGCTTCTCCTCGTCAGGGTTGCCGTGGGTAATCTGCAGGACCTTGGTGCCACCCCACAGGAAGGCGTTCTTATCGAGACCCTCGGGCTCGAGAGCGGCGTCGGCGGGGCGGAGCTGGACAGAGTCCTTCAGAAGAGGAGTACTCTCTCCAGAAAGCATGGCCTCGTTCACAATGGCAGTTCCCTCGACGAGCAACATGTCGCAGGCGACACCGCTATCCTCCTTGGTGCGTCCAACCGAGACGAGGTCACCGGGCAGAAGCTGGTCGCTCATGATCTCGGTCCACTTGCCCAGGCGGTAGACGTAGACATCGTACGGCTTGATGCTCATTCCGCGGAACTCGTTGAGGGTGCGCTGGCGCTGCCAGACGACGGTGCTCTCGAAGGCGACCAGCATGAAGAGAGTGAAAAGCGAGTAGTACCAGTACTCGTCCAGCATCCACAGACCGACGCAGAAGACCTGAAAGACGAAGAAGGGCGCGACGGCGTGCTCCTTGAACAGCTCGGTGAAGGTGGGGACGGGGATATCAAAGGCGTTGGGGCCGTAGTGCTCCTCGATCCTCTTGAGCTCGTCCTGGGTCGTAATGCCCTTGGACTGCTGGTAGCGTCCGATCTTGGGCTTCGGCTCGGCATCGATGTCGTAGGCGAGGGTTCGGAAGGACTTGTCCTCGGGGTAGTAGATGAAACGTCGTTTCTGGAAATGGAACGAGGCGTTGACCTTGCCACCGACCTGTGCGATGTTAGAAGACTGTCCGCAAGGGAGTGGAGGGGTTGTTCGCGCGGACTGAGGCTGGCTTACCTTGTCGCGAACGATCTTGCAGATGTCGGCAGAGCCGGCGTTGGCTACAGGGATGACCTTGACCAGCTCGGCCTCGTCAATTGACTTGGCGCGAGTGGCCGTGAAGAGGGCCTGGAGGTTGACGCTCCAGTGGGTGCTCAACCACACGAGGGACTGGAGGGTGACGATGGAACCGATCCACACAAAGGTCCATTCCTCGGATGCGATGTGCTTCTCGTAAAGCTCGGGGGTGAGATAGTAGCGCAGGAAGATGGGCCAGATGATGGCGAAGGGCCAAACGTAGGCGTGGAAGTACGTCGGGAGAGGCTTCCACAGCTCGGCCACCTTGATCTGGGGGTTATCCACGAGGGGCGCCATGGTGGGCGATCGCGGTGCGCGCGGGACCGATCAAGCGACTGTACACGGCGGAAGTGATGCAGGGAGACGGGGGGGCGTGTCGTTGGTCTGGGTCCCTCTTTGCATCGACGGTGTTTTCTTCGATGCAGATGGGAAAACAAAGAAGAGAAGATGGAATTCGCAAAGTCCAAGTGACCCGTGGCAGAAGGAGGGCTGCTGGTGTGGGGTCTCTCGCGTTGCTGGCGGAGAAGACGGGGAGAGGCAAATAATAAAAAAAGGTAGCAGAAGCAGGCCGAAGGATTTCGAGACGGCAAGGTGGTTATCTGTCCAAACTGCACTCGACGGAGTCCTTTTTTTTCGCGATGGCGAATTGGGGGACGGGACGTTGGAGGCACAGCAGGGCCGCAGGCCACTCACACAGCTGACGACAGGGCCCTGTTGGCCTGATGTGGCCACTCACCGTCGACTGTCAGTGGCCCGTGGGGTACGTGGGCACTCTGCTACCTTACCTAGGTACTATGTACCTTGGTCCCTCAGGTCCTTAACCTTGATAGGAATGCACCCTATCTGCAATCGGCTGTCGGTGAAGCCCCGCCGGCGCAGAACACTACGCGGGTTGTTCCGTGCCGGAGCCTCGGTGTACGTTTATCAGCACTTATTACATGGTACAGATTTCCGTCTCTCACCGAGATGAGAACCCCGGCACAGCTCTTTTCTTCCAGCATGACCAAGACCACGACCAAGACCCATGGTATCCAAGTGAAAAGCGACGCATGTGTGGATTATGTCTCATTTCTGGGCTAGGCCTCATATGAATTTTCTAAATATCTAAGGAAAATTTTGTCTCGTTGTACTTCTTTGGCGGGAATCGCCATCTTCGTGTGGATATCATCAAACTTGCATTCCGAGTACGCCTCTTCTACGTTACCCATCATCGTCAATCATTCGACATGAATCACCATCACAGCGATATTTCGGTTACCGCTTAGCCACGCCCTACTCTTCACTCTTCGCTTACGCCCGCGATGACGCTTCTTCGATTGGCACGTCCAGTCGGCCAGTCCTCGTATGCGGGTTGGGAGGACGGTTTTGGCGGTTTGATATAGTTTGAGATGCGCTTCGAGACGCTTCCTTGGTGACGCAGACCCATCTTTCCGTCTTCATCCACGCCGGAGTCGTGTGCGGCTGTAGGCTGACCATAAAAATCCGCCGCGGTCAGCCTGCGCTCATCGCCGGCTGCGGCGAAGGACATCATGCTCGCCCGCTTGCCAACCGTATACTGGGCGCTGTTGCGTTTGTTGCCCCGATTCGCCGCCGTATTCAAGGCACCACCAGCGCCTGCCAAATAAGGGTCAACGGGGCGGACGGAACTCCAGGGGTTGTCGCTGTAGCCATAGTGACCGGAGCGGCGAGCGAGATTGCGCCACATCTGCGCTTGGTGTTCACGCTCGGCAGCTTCAGCATCTGCCAGAAACCGTTCATAATCCGTCATCTCCCTGATGGCGGGCTGTTTGGTCTGAGCATCTTGTCGAGACGGAGGCCGGGCCTGAGACGACGTGGGACGCGGCGGTGCCGCTGCAGGCGTCATCGGCTGCGGCGTCCGGCTTGGGGGGTCGAAAGGTGCTTCCATCTCGACAGGTGAAGCTGACTTGGGGGGTGTAAGTTCTCTCGCGTAAGGGTCGGAAACAAGGTTGAAGCTGTGCCGTCGGCAAGACCTTGGGCGAGAATGACTTCTCGGAGCGGGTGCCTTTCCATTCGAGGACGAGGTATTTGAAGTATTTCGCAACAGGTCGAGCTGGTGCTGCCATGGGTCGGTGGTTGCCGGTTCCCTCGTGGTAACCACTTCAACCTCTTTGCTCTTGAGAATTTCGAGACGCCGGTGCAATTCCAAAGGAGATGGCGCCTCATACTTTGACGAGCTCAGGTCCCGTGGAAAGCGCTTCTCGGCTTTTTCGGCCGATGGCGTCCGTTGCCTCTGGTGCGGCTCCGACTCGTCCCCTTGGGCGGCGGCAGTTGTCGTACCCAGGGGGCGTAGAGCATTCTCCAGGCCGTTGCCTAGGATGAAGCTGTGGCGGTTGTGAGTAGTGCGCGAAAAGTCCGCCGCCGCGTGTTTCGGTACATAGACCGTTCGAGGCGCCGAAGACCGTGCCGGCGCCTCGGCCGTTATCACATGATCATCGTCTTCGCCAAAGTCGTTAGCGCCGGGCCTCGACCAGAAGCGCTTGCCAAAGCTAGGTTTCGAGCGCACCCTGGCCTGGGCGGTCGAGGGCGACGCGGGCTGCTGGGGAGTTTTTAAGTGAGAATGAGACTTGGATTTGTGGAGGATGGCGGCGCCGGCAGTTTGGGTCATGGTTGCAGGTGCTTGCCGGGGCTTTGTGACTTGTCGTAGGAACCGCGGGACAGAGGACTTTGACGAGGTTCGCGCGTCCGAGACAGTCTCACTTCTTGGAGTGCTGCTCGATGTGTCATGTGTCTTGTGTGACGACGGGTTCAGCGGCAGAGCCTGTGCCTGCATTTGGTGCTGCTCCGTGGTCTCACTAATCGTCGGCACGGGGTCAGGCGAGCTTCTAACCTGGTCGTCGGCTCCGGAGGGGTGACTCGTATTGTCGCCGGTGCTGGTGGAAATCCCCCGCCTCTTATGGTTTTCAGCATCCTTCTGCTTGGGTACCAACCGCCGTCGGATCAAGCGGCCAAGCAACCCTGTCTCCTCTACTGAAGGAGGTGCAGCAGCCGCTGATGACGACGTAGTGCCGGTACCAAGACCTTGCGCCGCTGCTGCACCTGTGGTACCTATGGCAGTCGCGGGACGGCTTGTCGCCGATGGCAGCTGCAGCTGCGAGTTCTCGTCAAGCCCTGGCAGCGGCGCAACGATGCGACCGTTTTCAATGTGACCCTGGTTCTGGACATTGGCGACAGGGGCCGACGTCGCTCGGAGGGTGTTCTGGGGATTGTGGAGTTGGAGACGTTGTCGCATCGGGGGTTGCATCGGCATGGGTCTGGGTGGGTGCTGCTGCTGGCGAGAGGGCGGCGGTGTCGGTTCGGGTTGGGCCTGCTGATGCTGGTGTTGCACCGGCATGGATGTATTGTTGCTCTGATATAGGCTAAGACGTCGATTGAGGATTCGGTTGAACGCGTTCTTGACCCCCGGCGAGGACAGTTCCTCGTCTGCCTGCTGCTGCTGCGGTTGCTGTTGTACAGGCGGCTTGTAAGTCGAATACGAAGGCGATCCCCCGAAAGATGCGCTTGCAGGCGCTATCATCGACGACGGCCTCGGTCTTGACCGAGCAGGCGGGGGAGATGAAGGAGAAGAAGAGGGAATGGTAGCAGTAGTCGTAGCAGCAGAAGCAGCCTCGGTAGTTTTGACGTTTTTCGACAATCGGCGGAAACTTTTTGCTGGCTTATCTGCTAGGCTCTTGTTCTGGGCCTGCATCTCGCCCTGTTCGTTCTCTTGCTGATCTTCCAGGGTCACCGATATGATTGCATCTGGCCGCCAACTCCATCGATTCCTAGATAAACGACGCGATGAGACGGTGGTAGAACCAGGCGGCAGCTTTTGATCATTTGGCTTGTCGACCTCGCATAATTCGGGCTTGTCGGGGGAGCGGACGAGAGGTCGTTGGCCTGTCACCGCAACATCTTGGACTTGGACCTTTCGCAGACCTCCCGACCATGACCAGCGATTGGGATTGACCATTTTATGAACCGGCAGTCCGTCGGGATCCTCCCAGGCGTCCAATCCGGTCCAAAGGTACACCACCTAAGCCCTCTCAGCTCAGCCGAAAGAGCAGTCTTCCCAGGGTCGGGTTTGCGGCCGGTCAGAATGCACCAGCCAGATTGTCAGGATAGTCGTTGGGGGCTCAATCAGCAGAGCCGAGACCAAATGCTGAGGCCCGAGACAACGAATCAGGAGAAAGATGAGGCGTGTCAGCAGACAGTCCGACAGACTAGATGGATCAACTGAGGTGAAGGACTGAACAGAGACACCCGTAATCCCAAAGACGGGCGTGAGAGGAGATATGATTGAAAATCAGGGCATGCGAATCCAGAAATAGAGCCGATGCAAGGCACCTTGAGGCGTTAAAGCGGGAGGAGACGGATGGCATGAAGCGGGTGGCCCGTCTCCAGTTCGAGAAGTACTCGGCAAGTACCCGTTGAGTCTGTCATGTAAGTCGTTCCCCGTCTCCCGCGTCTCCCATCGGCCGAGATTTGGTATACACCGAAGCTTCCCCCCCTGCAGCCAGCACAACTTTGCTGGTACTTGGTGTTGCAAAACAAGTTAGGAGAGAGTAGCATGTTCACTGGACGACAAAGAGAAGACGAGCCCCGTGTTTCCTGGGCTTTGACTTGTTGTTTGAAGCGCAATAGAAGGGGACACCGATCAGCAAGAATTGCTTCCTGAATCGTCCAGGCGGCGGCTTTCCGGAACGTGAGCAGAAGTGGAGGCCAGAGCAGGTAAGACAGTTCCTCCAACGCCTACGAGCCAAAGCGGCATTCCGCGCGGGCGGCAATTGGGAGCTAACGGTCACAGCCCCGAGTCAAAGTGCTGGTTAGCGTCTTCAGGAGAGTGTCAAGAAATGCAGCGGCTCCGTGTTCGCGTTTGCAGATATTCCACTGGGCGATGCCAGCCTGGGTGGGTGAGAGAACTGTGCAGGATGGGCCCAAGACGTCATTGAAGGTGCCTCTTGATGTCCTCTTTCTCACGCCTTGGACACGCGCTCGGATGGACAATCACACTGTACGGGGAGTCGCGCATATGGGATCACGAGGCTCACCAGAACCCCCCATCGGAGAAATGTCGAGTATTGCCGCAGTTGTAGTGCTGCTGGCCACGGAACCAGACAGCAGCGTACGCCAGTGAGACCTTGGTACCGGTATGGGGATGATCGACCGCCATTGCTGTCAGTATTGTCATATTTTTAGGTGATTTGCATTGGTTTGCATTGAAGCGGGACCCATGTTGGGCCAGATGCAGGCATCGGCCAGCGCGTCGATCATCGAGGAAAAGCCGGGGAAGAGGTAGTGTCTAGTAGCCGATAGCACAGGGCTACGGGCGTGCGCGATCCGACAACGGCGGCATCTGTTGGATGCACGCTTCTCCTTTGTTGACGCGCAAGACGAGGCGCGCCCCAGGTCGTTTGGGCGCGTTTCTTTGTGTCCTGAAGCTATATCCGTTAGTGCCGGGCGTGGAGCGCAGCACTGGGACCGAGGCAACGAGGGTCAAGGGCGCTTTGAATACCATTATCTCTGCTTCAGATTTCTGGCATGGGTTAGGCAGAGACGCAAGTGCATCTCAACATCTCTCGCGAGCTCGTAGACCTGGGGGCGGATGTAGGCAACGGCACCATCTAGGATGCGTTGTGGCGTTTGTCCATTAAAGAAGGTGGTGTCCATCTGGCCAACGGGATGCCTGGCAGAGTCGGGGTTTCCCAAAGAAGCGATTTTGGACGCTCGAAAAGGGTTAGGGCTTAGCAAGATGCAAGTGAGGATGCCGACGCGGGAGTTGAAGAGGAGCGAGACGTTTGCTGAGAGGCCGACCAAGGTACAAAGCGTCAAAAAGGGCAGAGGTGATCCTGAAGCCGCTGGGAGTACGTAAAGCGAAGAAATGGAGTTTTGAACGATGAGGCCCAGAAGATGACGTTTGATTAAGCTAAGCTCACGCCTAGAGAGATGGCCCGTGGTCTTGGAGATCTCGCGGCTATTGCCCCCATCCCCCGGCTTGTGTTGCAACGGCGGGCAGGGATCGTCGTCAAGATCGTCCCTTCCTTGCCCGAACGGAGAAATCATTCACGGAACCCCCTTCTCTGTCGGCGCGTTTCCAGGTGAGCAAGGTGAACAATGTGAGGGAGGTCAGATTGGAAGGGAGCTCGGTGAGAATACCAGGACCAGCAACAGGAACGAAGCACGGAAACAAAGGAGGAACAGAACAGAACAAAACAAAACAAAACAAAACAATCGGATGAGAACAAGGAAGCTGCGTGCGCTGCGGTGGCAATTTCCCCAGGAGTTCCACACGTGGAGAGGGGCCGGGGGTGCAGTCCCCTCCCTCTCCATAGCAGACAGGCCTGGTGGCCCTGGCTCCAAGTCCGGTGCTCTTGGTGGAGGGACCCGTTCCTTCCTCACCTCTCCCGTCCAAATTACCGGAACAAACGGAAACCTGGACCCCGACTCACTCCGTCTCTCGTCCACTTCCACTGTTTCCTGACAGCCCGGAAGATACGACTTTGCGACCACTAGCTCTCCTCATCGCTCCCTTTGTGAGCTGCCTGTGGAGCGCCGCAGATCGTGGTCTTACCATCGGATGCCAGTAAGCTTAACTCAGGGGTCTTGAGCAGGAGCTAAAACATCCTGCGGCCTGTCAACAGGCTAACGTAGGGACGAAGGTATGGGTCATTGGCTGAACATCCATCAACACACAGCTCGCATCAGGTCGGCCCCCATCCACTAGCATCGACAAATCAAGCTTCACAGCTCGTTGACGCGGCGTACGCCAGACGGGTGAACACCGCCGCCGACATGCGCAGCCAGTACATGGCGACTGCTTGGTGCCTCCAATACACATCCAGCTAAGCTACCGAGTCTGCAACCTCTTCATACCCGAAGCCTTGGCTGATGCGTTCCAGACCGACATGTCGACTGTACCATCCCACCAGAATCGCCATGCCCCCGGCAGACACCACCACCCTCCGCCCCCATCCGGCTACTCTCGACCACCCTTTCAACCTCGTGCCAATCGACCGTCAGCAAGATCTTGGTACGGCACTCTCAGAACTAAGATATGGTGTCGTCTACGGATCCCTTTGCACCATACAGAAACCCGAACTTGGCAGTACCGCTGGTATCCTGCAAGCCATTGCTTGAGAGCTGAGGTAAAAAATGGCACTATTGCCAGTCAGGCTGCTGTTTCGTTCCTAATAGCCAAGTATGCAAAGACCGGCACCCCACAAGGTAGACCGGCGACAGGCGCCTCCAAACCCAAGGCTGAAAGAAAGCAACGGGCAAACACCTCACAAACGTAATGTTTGGCCAGGCACTATCCGCGCTCACACACCTCAGGCAGTCGATGAGTGTCTGCGTTTCAAAACAACCCACTCGAATGTGGAGAGCATAGTCTCGGAGCCGATATCTGTCAGTACGTGCGTCGGCCAAATCATCTACCCCACGGTCCACGGTTCGTCTTACCTCCCTCGAGAACAACCGAGGCTTCCATACCTACCTTACAGCCGCATTACGACTCCACGGACGTTGCCGGTCTCGGACAGTGCTGGCCGCATGCGCTCTCTACAGCTTGCAACCTCGTGACTGCCCCTGCAGTCCCTACTCCGTCGAGGCACCGGCCCACCCGACACCGTACGACGGCCAGTGTGACTAGAACTACCCTAAGCAAAGGCCTCGTCTGCACTCTGCCAGCCTGACCCTTGCTTTCCCTACTTTGCCTATGTGATGGCTCGCCACTGGGTACCGACTCATTGGATCCCAGTCAACCGCCCTTGTGTGGCGGACAAGATAGGCGGCTGTCGCCCCACGAGTTATTGGCAACTAGGCGCCAGTAGACAGCCCGGAACCTGGCTAGCTTATCTATCTTCAACAGTTTTGCACGGCAGATGGAAACGCTCTCTGGGGAAAGCAAAACAAAAAAGGGCGACACCCGAGTGACATGGTGTGTTGTGAGGTGCGCTAAAGCTGACACTAAGCTCAGCCATTCCCACCCACGTGGCCCTGCGATACTGGCGGTCAGCCCTCCCACGAGACCGACTGTGGTGCCCAAAGCATGATTTGCCTGCCCGGGGAACAACGAAGACTCGCTGCCAAGCTGACTCGCAGGCCGTGCCTCTGCGTTCCTGTGCTTCAACATCTCTGCGCCGAGGCCGAGATCAGCTCGCGCCTCGTCCAACCATTCAAGAACCTGCCAACCTCTTTATGGCACGCGCGGGGGGGGAGGGCGGGGACCCATTCGCATTGGGAAAGACTGGTTGGAGGTGGTGCTCTCATGAAGGGGCGGGTTGAAGCGCATTGGCCTGACCTGATGCTTTCATGTTTTGCTACTGTTGTTGTTGAATCAATGACGAGAAAAACAATGCATCACATGTGTGCGGGTATGGAGGTCGGGATTTGCGACAAGTTCATTATTCGTTGCGACTACACCGCGCCTCTGAGCACGGAATTCCACCTCTTGGGTATACTTCAGCGCATCCCCCCATTCAGAAAACGTACACATGCCCTGCTGTGGCCCCTGTACAGCAACCCATCTATCCCTTATTTAAGCCCTGCAGCGCCATAGCCGCGTCTGCCTCTCTTGGGGACTGCTTCTTACTCGTCGGCGACGTATATCCAAGGTCCTGAAGCGGCGTCGAGCCAGGCGCCTGCGTTAGTTGATACACGAGGGGATCCGACATGAAGAACGGGTTGACCATCCTCGGGTCAGGCCGGGTCCGCGCGTTGGGCGACATGACTGAAAGAGGACCTGCGGGAGAATGAAAGGGCTCCAGGGGCTGCAGCTTCATGGGCGTCGTAGCAGGTTTCTCGTTCGTTCTGAGAGGTGGCAGCGTAAGCGAATCCAGTGATGCTCGGCGAATGTCGGAGAGGATCTTTGGCGAAACGGGCGACGCAACTGCCCTGTTCTTGGCCGACGGCGTTCTCCCCTTCTGCGGGGTCGGTCGGGGAAGAGCCTTGGCGGCAGGAGTCGGCCGAGGCATGCCGGGCACAAACACTTCCTCGCCGTCAATCGTCTTCCGTTTCCGGGTCCGAGGGTTCAGCTTGACGGCCGCGAGTATGGAGTTCTCTTCAGTGCCCGACATGGTAATGTCTCCCACGACATCGCTCGCGTCACGGACCGGTCCGGGCTGTTGAGCCTCTTGCTTTACTAGAGGCATGCTTGGTCTCAACTTGAAGGTTGTGCCAACGTGTGGAGTGTTGGGCTCCGACGGCTGTGGTAGAACAGCCGGTGCAGATTTCCTGGTGCGTCTGGGTTTCGGCTTCTCGACCCGGAGGCTCACAGCAGAGGATGGCATCGAAATATTGCCAGTGATGCGTCGAAGCTCGGCCATGACCTTTAACATGACATACACAGCATTGGTCGTGTCATCACGAACGGCCATCGGTCGACGAGGTGCAGCCTTGGGGGCGGTAACCTTGGTGACCTCGCCCCTGTGCTTCGTTGACTTCTTGCGGACAGCTTCAGTCTTGACTGGCTCGGCTGCCGTGTCTGAGCTGGGCATCATCTGCGGCAGCGGAGTTCGTATTGTCGCCTCGGGCGATACGGTACTGGAAGACTTCTCAGACTTGACAGCCACTTCCGGCTGCGATGTCGCTGGGGCGTTCTCGCATGACTTTGATGACTCTGGTTTTGGTTTTAACCCTTCCTCTACGATGCCCTGTCGTTTCTTTGATTTGTCACTGCTTTCCTTTTTCTTCTTGGGCAACTTGGTGCCCGGTGGTAGCCAAAGCAGAGGGATTCTCTCCTTTAGATTAGATACCCACGCGTCGCAGTCCCACTGGATCCAGTAGTCAATAATGTCTCCCCATGAACTCTCTGGAGGCTTGGTGTAGTTGACAAAGACCACTTTGCCGCCCCTGCTGTGGATAGTCTTGGCAAACTCCCTAACGAGAACCTTGAGGCCGTGAACTTTGAGAGAGGTGCCGAGAATAAGGAGTAGGTCAGGCGAGAGTCCGAGATCGTGGGTGACTATGGGAGAAATAAGATGGGCGTTTGGGTGCTCTTCGCCGTAGAGGACAATGTCTGGCCTCAGTTTACCGACACCCAATGCTCTTTTGCCCCTCTCCTGTCTCGCAGCGGTCGCTCCGGCGCAGTATGGACATTCGGGCTGTCGGCCAGACATGGTTTCGTACGCTCTTCCATCTTCGTCCCAGGCGCAAATCTTTCCGCAAAGGAAACAACGCAGAGATTCCAGAGAACCGTGTAAAAACACACACTCCACGCCATTGGGTTTTCGGTCAGATTGTTGTTGGCTTTGAGAGTCAGATGAGGAGGTAGCGTCGGCCGATTCAGTTCCCTCGCCACTTCCAAGTCCCTCAGGGTCGTCGGACTCTCTCTTTTCTTCCGGCTCTGGTGCGGCCGAGGTCATTTCACTGCCGACTGTACAGTTTGCTGATGCCGTCGTAGCCAATACCGCCCCAACAGACTTTCTTGAGAAGCGACCTCTGTGTCCTGGTCCCTCCTGTAGCGATGTTGATAGACCAACCTTTTCCTCGATCTGATCAATATTTTGTGTGTAGCACCGAACCAGTTTTCCACGGTTGCGGAGGTGACCGATGAAGTGATGCGATTCTGTTGGTTCAACATCCTTCACCTTCTGTCGAAGGGTGGTGGCGAATGTGTAGAAGACTGATGTTCGCAGGGGGTCCGCCCAAATCGAGGCGTCAAACAGATCCCTGCCTTTGATGTTGGGTAACGTTGACTTGCTGAACTGCGATGACGGAGGGGTTTCGTCCGTTTCGGAAGACGCTGCGCTGCTGGCCACGCTCGAGGTCTGTCTGCTTGCTGAGGATGACCGTTCCTCGAAGGGGTCGAACAAGACAGGAGGGGGCGAAGACAAGGGTGATGAGCTGAAACCCAGCACGGGTTGCCGAAGATTCGACTGCGCGAAACAATCGCTCTCCCTGTGGAATGCCGGTATCTGCGGGAATATGCTGGGTGGCGATGATAAAGGCGACGAGCTGAAAAAGAACCTTGTGGTTTTGGGCGTGATGTGGACTGAAGCCTGAACCACTGGTTTCGGAGCCGTGTCGAGTGCCTGCTCAATTTCCCCCGGCTGCAATACTGCTTTGGAGCGAGTACGTCTTGGCTCGAAGGGGACCGAAGTGGGTGCTTCGTTGCATTCAGCTGCCTGTACGGTATCCGGAGGACACAAAGATCTATTTCGCAATACGGCAGAGCGCGCCTGATAAGCGTTGACTCTGGGCCGAGCGTTCGGGCTTGCGGAACGGCCGCGCCTGCGAAAAACTTGGCGGGCTGATCTTTCATCTTCAAATGGGCTGCTCTGAGCATCGGGTAAACTCGAATGCAAGGCTGTGCGTGGACCTTTCCGGGGACTCTCGTCCGGGGGCAGGGACGTGGCTCTCCTGGTAGATCGAGTTGACCTGGTTACCACCCTTTTGCCTCTGGCGTCAGAATCTTTCTTAGCCGCAGCCCCCTCATTTGTGGTATTGCCGTCCACTGTTGATTCTCTTGACCTCGCTCTCGTGATCGGACCGTTGGCCCTCGCCGTGGTTGAGTAGGAGGCCCGTGAATCTGTCCCATCAAGGAGGGGGTTTTTATCCTCGGCGCTGGATACCTCCTGGTCTTCGGTGGCCTGCGAATCGTCGCTAAGGCAAATGCCCGAGTCCTCGAAAGAAAGCCTCCGCCGTTTCGTCGGTGGTTCTCGCTCGTCGCACTTCGTATTCAGCGATGCGGAACATCTCGACTCCAAAGCATCTTCCCGGTTCGCAGCGTCGAATTGGGCCTGGATCAAGGAGTACAGTCCATTCTCGCTTCGGAAGTCCTATCTTGTCATTAGCCCGAGTCCAAGGACGACGACACGGATACTTGCAGGTATGCCCGAGTTGGTACTGATGCCAGCGCCGGTAATGACGACGACCTTCCGCGCCTTGAAAAGAGACTCGGCGATCTCTTGCAGAAGATCATCCTCGGCGGAGGTGACCTGTTTGGTAGGCATTCTGGACGCGTCCTAAATTCGGCCCATTGGACTAGTTCCGTGCGAGGTGCTGATAATTAACCACTTCTTGTCCTTCCGTGCGTTTCGAAGCGCGTGCCGGCAATGATCCGCAATCCGGCGTGGTTGTAGACGCGATGGTCGGCGCGTGGGGAGTGGTTGCAATTGGACCTCGTCACGAAGAACAATGCTATAAGCAGTTTTGGAGCGACTCTTCTTTCCGCGATGTGCCTCCCCAAGGTCGCCTTAATCGTACGGTGGACGTGTCTGCGACCGCAGCCCTTGCTTCGTAGTCGAGCGGAAGGTCTGGAAGACAACGGCTGAGCTTTTCCAGAGTTTCGCTCAGAGCGGGTCGCAGACAGCTTTCGGTGTTTTCAGGCAGGTAGTCGTACGGTTGCTGTCGGAATTCGTGGTCGTTTTGCGACGCGGTAGTGAAGGAGGTTGGAAGCGGTCCAGACGCAGACGCGGTAGGGCGGAAGCTGGCAGACCGGGGTTCGCGCTGCCAGGGTCTGCTCGACCAAGCTCACTGTCAATTCGCAGGAGCCGAAGCACAGAGCTTCACGGTCGGGGAGTCCTCCCTGGGTTATCGTCCGACAGGGCGAGGTGAAGTTGCGAGGTCAAGAATAGCAGTTGGAGGATGTGGCAAAGCGACCGAAGGTTCAAGGCCTAAGCTCGATGTTGAACAAACAGACGCGTCTCAGAAGGTGCTCGAGAGGCCCAAAGCTCGAGAGCTTAACGGACAAAGCTGTCAATATGCTGCCGTTGAATCCTAAGTGTGGGGAGATAGGCGGGCAGAGTACCCAAGGTGAGAGAGAATAGCTCCGTCACCAAAAGAAAACAAATTGACGATGGTGACGGAAGGGTTGTTTGAGGTTCCTTGTGCATCGGAAGTTGTTGTGAACCGCGACTGCCCGCAGACCCAGTCCCAGACCCAGTCCCAGACGCCAACAGCTTAGCGTCAGCGGCCTAGATCGCTAAGTTCGCCCTGCCTACCTACCTCAGGTACCTTGGTGAGATCAGCGGGGCTCCACTCCTGATGGCCGATAGCGATAGCGATAACGATGACAGCTCTCGATAAGGAAGCCCTCGACAGGGATCAAGCAGTACGGGGGCACAGTCGAAGAATGAAGAGACATGGTTTCAGCAGGGCTTCAGCGCCAACTCCCTCCTTGGCACTTCTACTCTCAGCTTTGGAGGGCGATCCGATGAGAAACACAGTGGTCAAGCTTTCAGCGACCAAACTGATTTGTGTGTTTGTCGGGGCTTTTCCAGCCTCGGCTTTGTGTACGGCCAAGACGTAGAACCACTCTCCAGGGTTTCCCGTTTGTCACCTTGTTATTCTTCATCAACCCAACACCATATGCTGATCAATGCCCGAGTATTGCCTGTCACACTTTAACGTTGAGCATCGATCGTTACGCAAACATCACCGACGCTTGGTTCGCCGCCTGACCACGAGCGACGGCTGACCCAAAAGTATCATCGCTCAGGCGTCCAAGTGTTTACGACTTGACATTTTCCCATCAACCCCTCCAAACCTTCGACTTACACAGCCCTCAGCCCATCGCCGTTAGGTTTTGCGATCACGTCAACGGAGCAAAAGAGGCTTTTAGGGGCGAAGTCAGATACCAGAATCAAAGACAGACTTTGCGGGAAGTGCAACTGCCGCCAGGCACATCGACCTCTTGCGGGACATCCCTGATGAACACATGGTGACGGTTTCCCGTCCCCACCGAGGCCAATGTGCGATGAAGCTGTCGCCCCAGACCTACCATCTCTGCATCACCCACGACAACAAACCCAATGGCTAGAATAGAGGCATCTACTAGGGCTGGCCGCCTTCTAGAAGACCACTCTTCGACGGCGGGAAACCAAGTCGGCTGCTAGAACCCGTCGCCAATGCGCAAACCCGTTGAGTTGCGTAATGGCACAAAACGGCATGAGATGGGGCCGGCGACAACCTAGGCCGTGCTTCCTCAGTCTTGGCAGGCAGTTGAAAAATAACACCAACTACGCCGGCCGCAAGGATATCCTTACGCATCGCACCTCCTTGGTTGCCCTCTGTCTGCCGGGCGGCTTGAACCGTCTGATGTCCCCGTGCCTCGCAGCATGTTCGGTCGATGCCAGCGTATGCGCCGTCACTGAGACGACGTCGTTTGATCTACCTCACCTCCACTCCCCTGTGTCAGGCCGCCCGTTGGCCGACTGCATTTCACGTCGACCCTCAGGCTGGGACCTCTGCCCATGAATACCCCGGCCTGAGGAGAACCTTCCTTAGCTGACACCTTGTTTCTAATCTCCGTGCCCTTTTTGGGACTTTCAATTGGGGGGCTGGCCGTGAGATTCCTCACAAACTTCAAGTCGTTCCGTCGCCGGGTCCAGATGAACGACGAACCCGTCCCAAACTGCTGCCAAGAGTACATGAGGCGCCGTTGATCGGTGCGTCCCATGGTCCTACCGGCCCTGGAACCTTGTAGACACCCGTATAGACACCTGTGTAGACAGCCGTGTAGGTCGAGAAACACATATAAGATGCCGATGCCGTGACCTACGTTACCAGTTCCACATCAACACTGCCGGTTCTCTGTATTGTAGCATTTTCTTCTTGTATAGTTTCTGTTCATCTTCACTCTTTTCTACATTACAGGCAGGTCCAACTTTAATATTCCATCATGCGGTACTACACGTCGCTCACTCTCCTCTCGCTCGTCGCCGGGGCATTTTCCCAACAATGTATACTGCAGTTTGACAGTCGAGTTCCAGTCGGAACTGAAGTGGAGGCATTCGATGCCACCAACAACTTGTTCAATCCAAAAAATGTTGTCGGCGCAGGTTTGAGCTTCAGCCAGGTTCTCCAGTTGCCCAACGAAAACAGTTCGCCCTTTGATGGCAATGACAATGTCGCTCTCGCGGTCACCATCAGGTAAGACTAGGTTACTCAACTTACCACACGTGCCAATCTGCTGACGCTCCTTCCAGTGACCAGTCCATCTTTAATAACCAGACGAGTTTCCGACGTGCCGAGCTGATTCCCATCAGCAACTCGGGCACTGACGCATCCACCGCTGGCGTCAAAACGCTCCACTTCAGTGTCCAAAAGGACGTCCAACGGCCCCTTAACCTCTCGCACGAGTACCAGCTTGCATTCCTTGAGAGCAATGACTTCAGCACGAACCAAGTCGTTCTCAAGACCGGAACCATCCTGGGTGGCGCTCCCGATGCTGACCCGGATACCCTAACGCTCTTTGGCAACGTTAATACCAAGCCGGCGCCCCCCGTTCTTCTCAGCACTCCCTTCACCGAGAACACAATCCACAACTTCGCCGTCACCTTGGACTTCACCGCAAAGTAAGCTGCCACCCTCAAGCCAAGTTTACGACTTGTAATACTGACACTCTCGCCAGCACGGCACGGGTTTTCTACTCCACCGACAACAACGACCTGGAGGCGCAGGGTGAAGCTGTAGTCAACAACGTTAGTGGACAAGGACAGTACCATTTCGGTCTTCTGAAGAAGCCAGTTGGCGGCCAGGGCGATATATCCAAGAACGGCTTCCAGCCTGAGGGTATCGATGAGGCAGTCATCTACAGCGGCATCTTCCAAGAGGACAGCGCCAACGGCTGCATCAGCCTGGCCCCGTAATCGACATACACTTGTACCAGCATCATATAGCACAACAATGGACTGAGACCCTTGCAGCGCGAAGGTCTCTACTATGCATATAAGTACGGTAAAAGCAAGGAATGCCACTAATATTTTGTGTCGACTTGCAGCTCCTTTTTGTTGATAGTGACTGGTTCACGTGAGAGACACTCCCAATCCAAGGCGGCACGTCACAGCGACAGGCGTTACCGTGTGGGTTCGTGGTCATTGAAATGTCACATATGCGAGGGATTATAGTCTGTCATAACGGGTTGGGTATTGCATTAGATGATACTAGGTTCTGTTTCGTAACGTCATTCTCGACTCTGTAAGACGTAGAGCGACACTGTTGTGTTTAGAGCCGGCAGGCTGCCCCGCCTCACGCCTCCTGATGGCTTATGACAGCAGTCACCTTCTCATGGCGGTTGGCGACCTCCTCCAACTGCGGGCGCAGAGAGTCGGCGGCCTCTTGCGAAAAGTGACGAGCACCAACGCGGTGCTCGAATAGCAAGTCGAGCTCAGAGTAGGTGAGTCCAAAGGGCTCCGGGAGGCGGAAGAAGGTCCAGGTCAGGAACAGCAACGTGATGCCGGCCCAGAAGAAGCCACCTCTAGCACCCCAATTCCAGTCATTCTTTCCGACAATCTTGGGCTGGATCGCGTTGACGATGAAGCCGCCCGAGTTGTAGAAGGCGCGCGAGAGGGCGACGGTCTTGACGCGAAGGCGAGTGGACGGTATCTCTGCTACGAGGGTGTAGCACGAGGGGCCGACGCTGAGCTGGAACGCAAAGAGCATGACGATGATGAGGGCCCCCACAGCCCAAGACCTCGCAGAAAGGCCAGCCGCGTCTTGGGGAATGCCAATGCCGCCAATGACAATCAGCACCACGAACATGGCCGACAGACCGGCCAGATACAGCGTGCGACGGCCAATATGCGTCATGATGTACCAGGCAATGATGCAGCCAATGAGACCGATGCAGTTCTGCACCAGACTCATGGTGAAGCCGTTCTCGCTGCTGAGGCCTGCGTTGATCATGAACTGGGTGCCGTAGCCCATGAACGGCACGCCGCAGAAGGACTGCGTCAGCCAGACCATGCAGGCAATCTCGGTGCGGCGGAGGTCGACGCCGCGGAAGCAGTCCCAGTAGTGCGCGCCGGAGCTGACCTCGATCTCGAACTGGTTTGTCACGCGCATCATCTCGATGTGGGCGTCGAGGTCGAACTCGATGCCGCTCTTGGGGGAGGTCAGGCTACGGACCGACTCCTTGGCCTCCTCGAGACGGTTCTTGCGGACGAGCCACCAGGGGCTCTCCGGGGCGAACAGCGTGCCGATGATGATGGGAATGGGCCAGACCCATTGGATTGCGAAGGCTGGTTTAGGTATTAGAATCCGGTACACTGAACCACGAAACATAGGTTTACTCACGGATGCGGTATCCCCATTCATTGTCAATCTTCAAGAGCCCGCGAAGCATTCCACTGCTAATCAGCTGGCCAATAACCCAGCACATGTTACTGCAACTGTTAGCTCGAGGTCCGTGGTTTCTACACTATGCACCGTGTAAGTGTACTTACACCCAGGACGTCATGTAGCCTCTCAGAGACATGGGGCAGATGTCGGCCGCGTACGTGACGGCGAGCGTCTGGAAGATGCCCCACGGGATACCCTGGATCAGAGCTCCGGCCAAGAACATGGGCAGGCCGTTGGAGAAGAAGGGGATGAAGACGGCGCCGATCATGGCAATCATGGAGACGATCATGGTCTTCTTGTAGCCGATCCATTCGGTGATGATACCGTTGATGATGAGGCCAACGATGGAACCGACCTGGGTGCCGTTGTTGATAATGGTCTGCCAACGGGCCGAGACCAGAGGATCTCCATTGGAGTCGATCTCGTCGCCGTATCTTTCCATGAACGCCGGGAAAACGTAGAAATTGCTCATCAAGTTGGTATCATAACCCTGGAACAATCAGTCGGCACCATCCTAGGACAGTAGAAACACGGAAGCGACATACCTCCATAATGATGGCGAGAGAGATGATGAACGAGAAGAGAATCGCCTTGGGCCAGAACCGGAACGAGTCCTTGACGCTCATATGGCGCTCGTTCTGCATGGCCGTGATGGCCTCGCCCTGGTCATTGTGATGGCTAACGGTAGGCATCACCTCCGCGCCCATGGCCTTGTCTTGCGCCATGATGAAGGGAGTATCGAGGATGAATACTTCAAAGGGATCAAGCGACTAGGAGCGAGGTTATTCCCATATTTCCTCGGCAAACAGTGGGATATGACGCTGACTTTATAGAAAGGTGAAGGCGGGGGGAAAGGTCCAAATCCCTGCAGTCCGCTCAGCTCTCTAGAGTGCAGAAGAAACCCAAAGACACCAATGCAATCTTCTGGTGTGATTTACCGAGGCAATGCGGAGGACCCATCCTTCCATTATTGACAGCCGGGGGTGCAATATTGGCATTGGAGCAACGACACATTTTGAGAACCAACGCCGGACGCACGTCAAGTCAGACACACTCTGTGAGGGTCCCATGGGGAAATCCCCGGGGCTTGGGACGATGATCGGTCGAGACTTTTGGGGAAGCAACGAGATGCGGTCATTCGTCAAACGACTGTGGGTGTCACAGCACGGATGGAGAAGGCCGGGGTTATGACCAGTTTTCCGCCCCTTTCCCGCCGCCTTTACCCGATCTGTCGTCAACGGCCGGCCAGGAGAGGGTCAATGGTCCATGTGGCCCTGGTCGAAGCCAACTCGGCCGGGTAACCACCGCGTGGTGAAATACACTTACCCAACCCTTGGCACTCTTTTCTCTCTAACAGATTTGGTTCTTTTTGGTACTTTTCTCCTGCTATGCGTGCGGCTCGCAAACCGCTCCACCTGTTGCCGACCTTTTTCTGCAGACAGAACGCAGCCCGGACTTCAGTCCGAGGGACATCTCACAAAGCCCCGCGGCATGCGGAAACCTTCGGCTTGTGCTGCGTGCCGGTACATACCTCGTCCCTTTCTGGTTTCTGTCAATGACATTACAAGTCGCCGGGTGACCTGACACAATTCTTCCAGGGCCCGCCGGCGCAGATGCCAAACCCGGGACGGCCATGTCGATTGCATATACTGCAGCGAGAGGGCATCAAATGCGACCAGAGGCCTCCGGAAGGCGGCTACTACGAACAACGTGAGAACCAGCGTAAGCAGCGCCAGGGAGATCAATTTCGACCACAGCGGCAGCCACAGCATCAGGGACACGCGAGTGCGTCGTCGCCCGGATCTCACACCGGTGGCTGGTGTGTCCGATGTGAGACCACTCCGCATGCCACGCTACCTAGCCTGCCGGTCCGTCTGGAGCTGGTGAGACTCTACTTCGACTACATCCATGACCAGTTCCACTCCCTCTTCCATCGGCCGAGCTTCATCGAGGATGCGCTCGGCGACCGGGTCCCACATGGGATCCTGTACGGCATCTGTGCCCTGTCTGCGAGGTACGGTCTTCTAGGTTGCCAAGACTGATGTGTGTTTTGGGCAAGAGATCGTCGATCTAACCAAGCTTCAGGTTCTCAACCGACCCGACTTTGGCAGCGGTTGACCCTCGGGACAGAGTACGGGGGTACTTGCAAGCCGCCGAGGGGTTCCTGAACCTCCGCGACGTGTCATTGACTACGATACAGCTGTGCGTCCTGATAGGGGCAGCCTGGACGGCCGACGGCGACGGAGAAGCCGAGAACATCTACTACGGCGTCGCATGCCGCATGGCGCAGCTGCTAGACCTGCCCAACAAGCCAGTAACCAGCCTGCTGGAACGAGAGATCAATCTACGGGGTAAGCCTGTCTGGCCCCCATCGCTCTGCCAACTCCATCTTCTGCAACGTGGGCATCTGCAAGGCACGGAAACCCAAACTGACAGGTCCTTTCCCCAGTCTGGTGGTCACTCTGCATGATCGACGTCTGGTCATCCACCGCGGTAAAGCTGCCCAAGCTGCTGCCGGCGAGATCCGACATCCCCCTGCCAATGGACGATCTGCCGTTTCTTGCGTTGAGCCGCAACGGTCCACATGGGACTGCCGCGGTGGCGGGTGCGACGCCATCTAGCCAGAGCTCGCAGCATCTCTCTCAAATGGTGCGGCTCAACCGGATCCTGCTCGATATCAACGACTTCAACCAGCGCTGCGTTGCCGAGAACCCGGACTGGGACGCCCTTGAGCACGGCGTTGACGCGCTTCATACGAGGATGGAGGACTGGCTCGCCGCGCTCCCGGAGAACATGCGCGATACCCCTGAGAACTTTGCATGGTTCGCAGCCCGCGGCCTTGGGAGGACCTTCGCGGCCGTGTACCTGGGGTATTATCACTTTGGCCAGCTTCTGTACTATCAGTTTCTGTATGGCGCAGGGACGACGACGGCCATCAACCCCACGGCGTCGGCGTCGGTCGCGCGCCGGGACACGTATGCGACCCGGTGCAAGGAGCACGCGGCGAGGCTGTGCGATATGGTGTACCGCGCGCAGACGACCGCGGGAGCGGATGTGCGGTACACGATGGCGGCGCATGTGTTGGTGATTGCGTCGACGGTGCAGATCCACACGCTCCTGTTCAGCGGCGACGAGGCGGATATCAGCTTGGCAAGGCGGCGTCTCGAGAGAAACTTTGAGCTGCTCTTGCAGCTGCGGTGCTACTGGCCGACGGTTGACCGACCCATCAGCCGACTGAGGGCTTTCCATGAGACGGCGCGGACCAGCATCGACACAAGCTTCGTGCTGGACCGGTGGATGCTGCGGTTCCTGGTCGAGTTTGCGGAGCCGATGGAGGAGAAGGAGGTCGGAACAGGCCGGCGCGGGGATGGTGAGGAGATGGAGTCGTTGTGGGCAATGGAGGGGCTCCGGTGAGGGGGGGTGGGTGCTGCGGGTTGTGTGGTGAAGCTGGGGAACCAGTTCTGGACTCTTGGCCCGTTAATGGAGACCATGTCAGTTGAACAAAGTGGGCTCGAGAGGCTTTGCTGGTCTTCTCTCTTGCATGTGACATGTTTGCCTGGTGAAGACTAGACTGAACGAAGCGGCTCATCTTCGCGACAAGGGTCGTCTGTGAGGTTCTGGTTCCGAGAATTACACCGGCCAGCCAACGAACTTCTGCACAACAACGGGGATCCCTCTTGGCACAACGGATTGCAGCGATGCCTCTTTTGTATTTGGTGAATCTTGTGAGGTTTGGAAATCCAGCATCCAGGCCGGTCAGCTGTGGATCTGACTGCATGACTCGGGGGGTTGGTTGGTTGGTTTGGTGCGGTTGGATGCGGAGAAGGGCGGAAAACTCGACGACTTTTCCGCCCCCTGTCGTGCGACTTCACCGTCTGATGGTGCCCCTCTGCCCCTCACTTGGCAACGGGCATTGTGTTAGTTGAGTAGAGAGAAGACACGATATGTGCGGGAAACTTGGAAAGTCACGATGGGGGGCTGAATGGATCTGCGAAGCCACTTTTTTGCTGCTCTGGACGGTATAAGAGTTGAGTTCCGGCAACGTTGATCGGCTGTCTGGTAGTCGGAGATTGAATCAAATCTCATTGCTATTGCTCATTCAAGAAACACCTTCAGAATGGCATACAGATCACTGGGCATCGTGGCCGCAATCGCCTCCGTTGGACGGGTGGCGGCTCTCAATAACGGAATGGCCATCACGCCCCCAATGGGTTGGGTAAGTCACAACAATCTCTTGGCCGGTGGCACATTCTATCCAACTCCAAGCTATAGAACTGACGTGAACTAGAACAATTGGAATGCATTTGCGTGCGACGTCTCAGAGGACCTCCTCCTCAGCACATCAGAGCGCGTCGTCAGCTTGGGCCTGCGCGACCTGGGCTACAACCACGTCGTGCTGGACGACTGCTGGCAGGACGAGAACGGCCGTGACGACCAGGGCAAGCTCCAGCCGAACCTCGACAAGTTCCCCAATGGCCTGAACCACGTTGCGGACCATCTTCACGGCTTGGGACTCAAGTACGGCATGTACTCCAGTGCCGGCGAGATGACGTGTGCAAGATTCGGTGAGTTATCTCGATATACACTCTATCCATGGAGTTCCCCCCTGAGAATGAGTCGAAAAGATCAATACTGACACTCCGAAGCTGGGTCGCTTGACCACGAAAAGGACGATGCCCAGAGCTTCGCGTCCTGGGGCGTCGACTTCCTCAAGTACGACAACTGCTACCACATGGGCCGCATGGGCACGCCCCAGATCTCGTTCAACCGGTTCAAGGTCATGGCCGACGCGCTCAACGCGACAGGCCGTCCCATCGCTCTGAACCTCTGCAACTGGGGCGAAGACTATGTCCACACGGTATGTTTGCCCACCTCTGTCCATCTACATTGTGACTTGTGACTGACAGCACGACCCAGTGGGGAATGTCCATATCCAACGCCTGGCGCATGTCGGGCGACATCTACGACTCCTTCACGCGCCCCGACGACCTCTGCAGCTGCACCTCGGCCGCGGATCCCTTCTGCATCGCCCCGGGGACCCACTGCTCCGTGCTCTTCATCCTCAACCGCGTCGCCACCTTCGCCGACCGCAGCATCCCCGGCGGCTGGAACGACCTCGACATGCTCGAGGTCGGCCAGGGCGGCATGACGGACGAGGAGTACAAGGCGCACTTTGCGCTCTGGGCCGCCCTCAAGTCGCCGCTGATGCTCGGCAACGACCTGCGCGACATGCCCGCCGAGGCGCTGAGCATCGTTAACAACCCGGCCATCATCGCCATCAGCCAGGACCCGCACGGCCGCAGCGCGTTGCGCGTGCGGAGGGACGTCGGCGGGGCCCTGACGCCGGATGAGCACGGCGTCGCCGAGGCCCAGGTGTGGAGCGGACGGCTGGAGAACGGCGACCAGGTCGTCATCTTCCTCAACGCCGCGGGCGCCGAGATCGAGATGGAGTCGTCGCTGGCCGAGATCTTTGTTTCGGACGGTCCCGGCGGCTCGGCGCCGCAGGTCAAGTCCAAGTGGGCTATTCACGACCTCTGGGCCGACAGGATGCCGACGGAGACGGCGAAGTCGCTGTTCAGAGCCGAGAACCACGATTCGAGGGCCAAGATCCTCAAGAAGGCCGACTGGTACAACGCCACGGAGATCCCGTACGCAGTCGGTCTGGAGAAGGAGGACCCTAGACTGTTTGGCAAGAAGATTGGCGAGGTGGAGGCCAAGGGCGTGTTGAAGGCCAAGGTCCCTAGCCACGCGGCCAAGGTCTTCCGCCTGAGAAGGATCGCGACGCCCGGTGATGGCTTCAAGGCGAAGAGCCACGACCGCACGCAGAGGGCTGTCAAGGAGGAGCTGTAAACGGGCGTGACGCTACATGATAACAGAACGCAGATATAGACTGGAATGCAGGAACACCGGCATGAAGGAAGACTACAGATGGATCGATGAGAACATTAGAAAGACTGCGGATACTACAAGAATGACGACTGAATGTGATTTCTAATATCTGATGAGTTTAGAGCCTCGGCAGATATGGCGCTGACAGGACAAAACAAAATGCAAAAATGTGGTTATGATAGACATTGTTAACATGATTCATTGCAATATCATCTATAAACTACATGTCACGCAATATTATTTCATGTTTGCACTTTCAGCCAGAATCAATGGAGATTTATTCTTGCTGCAAAGAAAATCACTTACTGACAGGTACAGAACAGCACAGGGTTAAAAACAGAGTGAAGTAAACAATTAAAATATCCTCTTCCAAAGCCCGCAACATTTGCTTCGACACATCTGACTATCCGCACTTCACTCAGACTTGGTCGGATACAAGTCCTATGGCACCCAAAAGCCACACGCCAGGCCGAACAGCACAATGCTGAATCTACGTGTTATCCGATGGTCTTCACACCTCACTAATGCCATGCTCGGACCGAAACGAAGTGATTCAACGCAAGACTCGCGGCTCCGCTGCCGCGAGACAAGAACCACGACACGCCCTAAACCACCATAAAGACCCAAACAGCGAGGTCTCTGAGGACACCTGTCCGGCAAACCGAGACCGCAGCAGACCACACGACTCCCGCCGCCTCAAGGCGTGCCCAGAGCAAACGCCCCCGATCGAGCCTGACTATGGCATCAAACTCACCTGTAACCTCGAGATCCGGGCCATGGAAGCCAGCATCTGGATCGAAGAAGGAAGAGGCGGGAGAAGCATAGGAAGTGCCTGGGAGAGAACAATCTCTACCGAGACCTCCAGCGGCAATCTCTCCATCGTCCTCGACCAGTGTGACCGAAGACGCTCACCCGTGGGACGGGAACCAAGCCCCTGAACAGAAGAGCACTAGAACTCGCCTGTTTGACCATGTCGTGTCTCGATCCCAAGGGCACGCCCCTGAACGGCATCGTCCTCCTGGTCCGGGGAGCTTCCTTGTCCGGGCTTGGAAAAGGACCGAGGTGAGCGAGGTGCCCATCTATCCATCCTCAAGATGCAAAATGACAACCGTACCCCTCGTCCATCGCCTCTCTTTGTCGGAGCCGTCGATCAGATAGAGACCATCGGAGGGCTAGAATCGGATCGACATGACAAGGCCGCCGGGACTATTTGCGGCCATGAAACGTATGAAGAACAGCATTGATTGCCGGCTACCGTTGTTTATTACGGCAACGACGAGTTTCATCAATATTCCGCCGTCAATCTGATCCATATTGTGAAGGATCCGGGGCCATCGTCAGAGCGCTTGTTCTTCTTCCTCTACGACCGTACCTATCACGTCGACGTAATCTCGCCAAACTTGGTGGCATGCCACCGCAAGAGTGACGTTGTCGCGCCCCGTTGTCGAGGGCTCGCCTCCCTTTGGCAAATGCCATACGCCTTCCTGCGTTCGAGATTGCTTCGTCACATAGTCACCAGAGGTTGGAAGTAATCGATCTGTTGGAAAGCCAAGCAACGCAAGAGGCGCCGGAGGAGTGTCCGAAGGGGCGTTGCAGCACAATCTTCGCCGTACACGCCCCTCCCCTCCCCCTGAGCTCGACAAAAAAAACCCACGCCTCGAGCGTTGTCTTACATTTGCCCCTTGTTCAGGACAATCCTCGGGCGGACCCGTAGGAAAGAAAAGAGGGAGAGAGAGAGAAGTAGAAGAAGAAACCAGGGGAGGAGGCTTGATCGACCGCGAGCGCACAGCAGACGCCTCAGTCCACCCTCGGGGCTTGGGCGACGACGATGAGGGGTTGGGCCAATAGAGGGCCTCTAGGAGCGAGACTGGTTCTGATCGAGACCTGCATGGGGGTTCGCTGGTGGCATGTCTGGCCGAGAGATTGGGTGGCAGAGCGCCGCGGCGAGGAGGGGCCAGCCACTGTTACCCATGCCGTTTCTTTTGATCACCGAGAGAGGAGACAAAGAGACGTTTGCGCTACAGAGGACGGTGATACCTCGTATGGCGCGATGGTGAGCTGCGAAAGGTCGTGCGGTTTTGGATTAAGTGGCAGGCCTTGCAGCAATGTCGTCAGACTCGTATCGTCCCTTAGAGAACGTTTCCCCCCCCTCAGCCGCCCGCCTGGGACCGGTCCGCTGTGCAGACTTCTCCATCGAGGGTCCCACCCATCCAGAGAAAGAAACCGAAAAAAAGCATCGAGGCGTGCATCAGCCCCCCGGGCCGCTCGGCCTCTGTTCGTAAGACGCGTCAAAGTTGGCAACAACGTGTAGATCCCGCCGTACACGGTTCCGTTTGGTGCCATCGAACCCCCCCCCGAGCCAGCGGTGGGCGATATCGAGCTCGGCTTGCGCCTCATCTCTGTCAACCCCGGGGCTCACGGACGAGCGGGGAGAAGGGTTTGGTTGGTAAGTAGACGTCTACAGGCGGCGCGCCTCACAGCTGTGGCGGGATCGCTGCCCAGGGATGGGCGTGGATCCTCTGCGCCGTAGCCATCTGTTCCGTCATCGGAAGTAAAGCGGTAGCTGGGACGCGGCCAGAAGTCAGATCGACGGTCAATTGCGAAGCGATCAGGCGAGAAGCGCGACGACCGAGGACCGCGAGTTCAAGTGCCTTTGCATCACCCGGCGACTATTCATTGCTCAAGGCGATGCAGCTTCCCACCGCTCTCTGCCACAACTCTTGTCGGTGTACGGAGACGTGCATATACCTTTAGGGGATGACCTTGATGGCGAAGAGCGCTGTTGCGCGCCTAAGCTCGTGCGCCTCTGCCCACCTCGAGTACAACGGTGAGCTGGGAGATTTTCTCCTCCCCCTCCCCGGGACCCTGGTTCTCGCAGCTCTACCTACCATACCATACCTAGTGCGCTGAGAAGATCGGACTTGGGGGGGGGGGGGGGGGGGGGGGGGGGGGGGGGGGGGGGGGGGAAGAGGCAGTAAGACAAGGTAATGCTTGAAGTCGATCTCTCGAGCGCTGTGCTCTCCCCCTCCCTCCAGTATCCGCTCGCCCGCCCTCCCTCGCCTTCGAAACTGCGCACGTCGTCCTTCATCCGAACGGGTCCAGCGCCAGGCGTGCCAAGAACGAACATACCATCTGTTCCGCGAGGCCAGCCTGGGATGCATGCCCGAGGCAGAGGAAGGGCGAGGCGCGTCGAGCGATGCGGAACCTCAACACGACCCTGAGCAGCTAGCCCGGACGATCATTACTCTTCCCACGTGGTTGCAAATCAAACGCAAACTGGCGAGGTTAATGAGCTTTTGACACGGGACCCAATAACAAGAGCAGGTGACGAGGGAGGCTCCCAAAGGGGAACACTGGTTGAGATTGCGAGCGACAACTTCGTGAGCCAGCCAAGCCATTGGATTCATGAGCCCCGTGCAGAGTAGTGCACACGAGAAATGTGACAATGACCAGGATCCCCCAAGATCTGGGGTCACAACAGGCCGGCCCCATGTTGTTCAAGATATCGCATTCAGTCGCACCGTAAGTGGCTAACTGCGTCCAGTGCAATATGCCCTCCCGTGTTAGCGCTGCGGCCGTCTGTGGGACTGGGCCATGGCCCGCCCACCCACGTCTGTACACCATGTACTGTAAACAAATGCCTTGTTCACGGACGCCAGAGCCTCGAGTCGCCAAAGGATCATTGCACCTGGTACCTAGTTGACACAGCTCAGGACTGTTCGGGAAGAAATGGCCTTGGCTTGCAGCATGGCTACAATTAGCAGGCCGGGCTCTCGCAACCCATCTCGGATGCTGGCCGTCTCCACGTTGGATTAGTCGCAGCCCTCGCAAAACCCCCGTGTTAGTCTCAGTGCCGTCCAGCGCCACGAAACGCCCTCGTTTCTTATTCCAACAACGCCCCCACTCTTCCCAAGTTATTTGGAAGGCCTCTGCTTGGCAGACTGGGACGCAACACGAACTTGACAAGTTCAGCGTTCTGCACAAGGTTATTCCGAGAACACGTAAAACTAAGACGGTAGGTGTTACCCAGCCGGGCCGGGTTGAGGACGAAGCACGGAACGCTGCGACGCTGCGACGTTGCGTCTCACTCACTACGCGCCTCTAGGATTACCACCTTTTGTGGTCTTTACTTATTGCTCATTGGCTAGTAGCACACGCCTTGCTGCAGGATCGTGGGAAACCCCGAGATGAGGTATGCCGGCGGCTTCCCACAGCGCTCCCACATAGTCAAAAGGTGCGACGAGTGTCATTTGTATGCCATACTGTCGTGTCACGAACGAGGAGCCCGCTACGACATCCCCGGTATCGTGGTTGTCACCACCAGTTCTTAATGATGCGGGCGATCGGAAGATGATTAGTTGAAGAGTCTCGACCACGAAAGTTGAGCACTCATAGCAGAGTTCCATACCCATTGCTCAAACACTGCAACCCATTTCGATGGTGAGGGTGTTTGATTCGAACCCCGTGGACCCTCTTTTTGAGCTAAATCTCGTACTGTGAGATGTCGACGTAGCGAACAGGTAAGGTTGCCTGGCCATGAGCCCCCAGAAGCGTTGGTACGCTCGCTCAGAAAGACGGTCCTGGAGGACGTCAATGCATATAGTCTCGGTGTCCGCAGAACATCTCACCCGGCCTCTTGTCGCGGGGGCGTCAACCAGAATCTGTCGTTGACCTCTGGATTTTCTCAAGACTCGAGGCGTGTTGCGGCGTGTGCCTCGCTCGACGGATGGCGGCATGGCCTCACTTAACCCTGCGCAACCCCTCTTCTCCTCAAGATCCAGCAGCCGGGCGCGGGCGGTTGAGACAGGTCCTTTGTGCGTGCTGTCTTCGATCCACGGGTCAGCATCCAGAGCATCGGGTCGTGGAGAACGAACAGATTGGTTGGAGGTGCGTGCCAACGTCGCACGGGTAGCTCAGGGCATACGCGGTATAACGTCTTTTGCCGAGTGCGCGTGAAGGCGCCAGTTTGGCTCTGGGACCCCGGATGAATTGGTGTTTTGGGACGCTGGGACGCTGTTGGGATTAGTACCTGAGTGGTGACTCGAGACAAGTTGTTGCCTCTTGCTGCCATCGGCTCGAATGGTCCAATCTCGACGACTTGGCCAAGCTGCGCATAACTACTGTGCGTCCATGTGGTAATACCCCTGTGCTCTTGTGAAAAGAGCCGATAGACTACCTAGCCAATATGACGGATGAGGCTAGGCAACGCAACGGGTACATGCTCGTGGGCCCCAGCTTCAGTAAGTACGACGCCCCTATCCGCATCGCCAAAAGTCCGATGATGACGGACACAGAAAAACATCCAGGGACAGCCAAGAAAGCCGAAGAAGGGATGGGAAGCTGCCATATACTGTGGTTTCGGTGATGCGGGTGGCTGTTTTGCTGACCACAAAACCCCGTACTGGGAACAGATTAGCGAGGACGAAGGCACGCACGGCAGCAGCGGTTATCCGCATGCAAAGCAATGGCTGTGTGTCCAGGTCAAGCTGAACGCAACCGTAGCTGCACAAGGGTTGGGGGCTGGAAGAACCGTCCACACGGCACGGTAGTGCTACACGAAGCTGCGTCTTCGACCTCTCCAGCTCCGGGTGCACATCCCCCCGAATTTGCAGGCCAACCATGGCGTGTCGAGCGCGACCGGTAGCATTGCCGCTTTCCGAGGAAGAGGCCCATGTTGCACGGCAGTTGGTAATGGCAGACGTTGAGAGCAGCGCGCGGCGGAGAGCGACCAGCCAACAGGCCTGCGAGGGAAAGCGCAAGATCTGCCTCTTGGGCAATATCGGCGTGCATGATCTTGCTAGTGTAAGTGAGACCAAGTTGCCTCCTGTCAGCCTTTGCGCTCGTCCGCCCCCTAAGCGGAGGGTTGCGCGCCAACGAGTGGGTGGTCTGGTAAACATGACAAGCCTGTAGCTGGGAGTATTGCGTGCTGGACGCCCATCAACGCCCAAGCATACCACATAGTGACGAAAAGAAGATTCCTAAACCGCAGGCCGTGAGTGGGTAATGTTGTTGCGCTGGATCGGAGGCTACTTGTATGAATGAGCCGTCGCATACCAGCTACCGCAGTGACATCAACACATGGAAAATGGCGGACGCAGAGATGATCTGTACCGATGCAGCCTCGGACGATGGAAGAGAGAGGTTGAGCTGGAGGAACTGAAGCCGTGGACCTGGGCCTACCGTTACAACCACGAGGTGGGCCAAAGGAACACTGTCTTGCAGGATGCAAAACAAATGGTACGGGTAGTAGCTCGGGAACGTGAATCTGCAACATGGGGATCCAGAGGCAAAGCAATGGACGCAAGGTACCGATTAAAGTCTTAACCACCCCCTGACGGGATGACTTGCATAAGAGAGACAAGACCCGACCAGTCATCTGGCAGGTATTCGTACTCGTCCGGGAATGGCCAAAATACGGCAGTATACGCTCTGATCCAACAGTTAGGATAGTCTTTAGGCTTAGGACAACCTTGGGGAGCTAAAGGTGGGATTGTGCCAGGACAGTTCGCACAGAGTTGCACCAAGAGCGTAGTTGTCAAACAGCAAGAAGCGAAAGACGGTCGCTGCAGAGACCTGGCGGCTCAAGTAGTACAGCTTGAAAGCAGATGATGGGCGTGGTGTCGCGCGAGATTGCCGGGACGGGCAGGGGTTTCCAGAGCCATGGTAAACTGAACAGGAGAGAATGAGATTGAGGAAGTGAGGGAGGGGTGGGAGCCCGGCAGAAGGCGAAAGGGCGAGAGAGATTGAGAGGCAAGCGAGTTGAAGGTTGGGGCCCGGCATGTCAAGTCATCATTGTGCACGAGGTGACGGCGCATGCGCAGGGATGGGTGTGAGGTGTGCAGCGGCGCCTGGATCCGCATGCATCGGTTGTGCAAGCAGCAGAGGAGCAGCGACGGCGGCGACGAGGGGTGAGAGACGAAGAGGCGTCCCCTGGGCTGGAGGGAACCGACTCCAAGATGGGGGTTAGGGATCGTATGGTGATGTCGATGGTTGAGGTGATACGGCCGTATGCAAAAGGCTGCATCCGCTGCTAAAGGCGGTCGGGTCGGGTGCTGACTAGGAGGGTCGAATGCATAGCGGCCGCGACGAGAGCACAGACGTACACAAAGTAGGTAGGCATGTAGAGCCAGGCCGCATGCGGTAGGGAACAGGTATTTCTGAAGTCGCTGAACTTGAGGACTTTGCGTGCATGCGGGCTGCTACGAGAACAGTAGACTGGAGTCGAGAAGGCGGTGACGGTAACGTGGGCGATGCGAGGTGGCTTCGAGATTGGTGCATGTATCCGTCGCCGAGGTCAATGTGCAAGTGTAGCCGAGGGTGGGCGGATGTTGGCAACGAGCAGAAAAATAAGAATTCGACGACGACGACGACGACGTATGTGGTAAATTCCCAGTCAAGGTCGAAACGGTGGACTGCAGAGATGGCGTCTCCCTGTCAAGAAGGGGGGGACGGAGGGAGGAGGATGGAGGATGGAGTGGTCAGTATCGATGCGGAAATGTCAGGGGGAGCCCTACATTCGGGGACTCGAAAGACAGGCTTGATGGAGGAAAAAGAAAGCATGCGCGGAGGGGGAGGGGACGGAAGAGAGGGGGCAAAACATCGTATGTTATCATATTTTATCATATGTTGAGCGGTGGCGGCGGTGATGCATCGTGTGAAGGATGGACGCAGGAAAGGAGAGGGAGGGGAAGAGAGGAAAGGGAGGTTGAATCTCGTAGTGGTGGTGGTGGTGTTGATGATGATGCCGTTTGGTGTTGTTGTTGGTGGTGGTGAGGAAGGAACGGTGTGAGTGCGTGAGGCAGGCAGGCAGCCACTTGCCTGCCCGCGTGCTTCCTGCTTGCCTGCCCACCCATCCGTGGCTTCGGTTAAGGAAGGTACATAGTAGTTAGTTGTGCCTGCCTTGGCTGCCTGCCCGCTTGGTCGATGCAGTGCTAAATGAAAGGAGGAAAGAGCGGCTCGAGGCGAGGCCTGCAAAGTATTCCTTCCTTGCTTTCTAGGGAGAGGAAGCAATTCTAGCGACGACAACAGTGCCCGTGACGGCCGTCTAGGGGGCGCCTGCCTACTGAAACTCGCCTGATGTCTGCCGAGAGTGTGCTGATAACAGTCCTGACAGCGGCCCTTGCCTTGCGCTAGCTAATCACCTCTGTTGGCACTGACAGATAGGGAAAGAAAGACTACACCTCAGGTACTTGCTTTCTTCTTCTTTTTTTTCTTTCCCATTCTTTGCCTTAGGTCAGCAGAAAGCTACGTACCTCGGACAAGACAGCCTGTGCCCGGGTACCTTACTCTCACTCTCCCTCAGTCCCTCAACCCGTTGGCCATCATCATCGCTGCCACCATCCATACCATCCCTCCGTCCTAGTCGTTCCCGTCCGCCGCCGTCTCTCTCCCGCACCCACACCCCCAAGCCACTCACTGCTCCAGCGAGACAGACAGACAGACAGACAGACAGGCAGACAGACAGACAGACAGACAGGCAGACAGGCAGACAGGCAGACAGGCAGACAGACTGGCGGACACGGCACCCTACCGTAGTACATCTCCGTCACATCTCACTACCAACGAGTACGCTTCTCGTCATTTCAAGGCCTCGCAATCGACACCTGCAGCTCTGGAAACCCCAACCGCATCGGGCCATCGTCTCCTACCCTGCCCTGATCCTGATGCGATGCATAATCCACCACGGCTAGATACACCGACACGGTGAGCTGGACTATCCCTCCCGCACTTTTGCATCCCACGCCACGGCCGTATCGATGTTGAGTTGTCATCCTTCCACCCTTTGCAGTGTGGCCTTGCCTCCCACTAGCAGGCTCGGCGTCCCTTCCCCGGGACTCCAGCCCTGGCCTGGCACAGAGAGACCTCGTCGTGAGATTGGGTGTCTGGCCTGGCCCATACGGTATCCCATCCCATCTGTGAGATCTGCAGCAAGGGTCGTCCCTGTAATCCTCTCTTTAGCCGTCGATCCTGTCTTTCTCTCTCTCTCCCCCTCCCCCTCGGCCCAAGTGAGACGACGAGGGACCTAAACCTTAGCATGGGTCCATGAGTCGAGGAGCCGATAGCACTTCCACCACTACCGAGACTCTGCGACTTGCACACTTGCAACGACGTACCGTCTCCCAACGTTGTGGTTTCTGCACCTGCATTAACCCAATGCTCCTTGGTCTACATGCTGGACTGGACACCCAGGCCGTGTAATCGCTTCTTCAAACCGAGGGCCCTTGACAACGAAGCCCTCTATGTGCTGGCGCTGGTGCCAGCCAGTGCATGCCCATGCTTATGCTCATGCTCGAACTTGGACCGAGCCTCAAGAAGCGAGCCGGGCGCCCGTGGGGAACACAAGCATACTTGGATAGCATCTCTCTCTCTCTCTCTCTCTCACACACACACACACACATACGCGCCCCTCTCTCTGATGCCCCTGCCAGCGCCGAAACTCCCGGCACTCTTGCCCATGTTTGTTCCGCGGGCAGGCTTCCCTATCGAGCCCCTCCATGCCTGTTGTCGTTGGCACATCCTTTTCCCCTCGACAACCAAAGGCTGCTCGTGACCCCTCTGCCCCCGTTGTTCCCTCGACTACCTACACCTTTCACTTGATACTCTACAATGAGCCATGCCCGCCTCACTCGTGCTGCTGCACCCGCCTTGGCCTTCCAGTCCCATTCCTCACCCTTCGGCCGCCAATCGCCATCTGTCTAATTCGTCATCCTGGCCATTGGAATGGCAGGGAATCCTGGCGCTCTCTCGCCAACGCGAAGCCTTGTGAGGGTGTGAATCTAGCCTTCTCCGTAGCCCGCCGTCAATTGCAGCTCCAGCCCAGCTTTCCTCGTCTTCCTCCGCCCAGCTCGTTCTGCCGGTTTCTGTCACACCCGCTGCTTGCCGCCAAATGCACGTATATCGTGTCCTGGGATGCCCACCCGTCAACTGCGCTTTGCTTCTTGGCGTTAGGAGACGGTCTTGGCCAAGGGCACACAAATCGTTCACCAATTCGTCCTATTCCCAATCAGTCGCTCTTCAGACTTCGCCTCCCCGGGAAACACGCACGCGAGTGAGCGAAGCGCTCGTAACCACCGAACGCGTTGAGCCATCGTTAGCACCCCACCCCTTCTCACAGCGAGCACACGTTACAGCGCCTGCAACTCTCGATGGCAGCCTTCGGCGTTTACCCGTACCTCTGATAGGCCGCTTCGGTATTCGATCCCGTACCAGGTTCAGAAGGCTACACCAACGTTTTCGAGAAAGCAACGTTTGGATCGTTGCCATGTTCAACCGAGTCTAGCATGGGACTCTGCGTCGGGAAGCCACCGGTCTTTCCCAAACCACACACGTTGAATATAAGACCGCAACCGTTCCCCGGCCGTCGTTGACGTTTGGCCACTCAATGACCCCCGTCGACACGAAGCCCATCATCCGACGCTAGTGCTCAGCCAGCGCTCGATTTTGACTCTTTGGAATCCATCCACTTCTGGTCCCATCATTGACTGATATTGGCACTTTGCAAACGCCCCCCTGCGCCCCTCTCTGGTTGCTGCCGGCGACCCATCGCATTTCGTATTGCGGCTCTCCCCGAATACCTCACTACCTTCCCGTCAAGCTATCGCTGTCAACAGAAACCTAACGTGCAGTCATCTCAGACACGAGTCTCACGCTTGTTCCCTCTCCGACACATCCACTAGGAACCGGCCGGCGCCAGCGAGTCCACCACCTCAGCACACTACCTACCTACCTATCTACCTAGACTTGCCGTGAAGAAGGTTCATCCAACAGGGGACGGGACTGCGAACAGTACGTCCGTGCCTGACATGACAGCGAGACACGGGCGCTACGGGATCGGAGTGAATGAAGTTGACATGCA